TAAGATATTTAAGATAAATTATGTTATTTTTATTGTATTTAAATATGTAAATGTAAAGAAATACGTTTAAGGATTTAGTGTTTTTTTATTTAATTATTTAAACGTGAATCTCTTTTTCTACAGTTTTTTTAATTTTCTCTTCTAAAATAGCACATTATACATGGTATTTACAAGAATAACATGACTTTGGTTTTATGTCAGAACTTGATTTTTCGGAAACCACCAAATTATTACCTACAATGTAATGTAATGTAATGATTATGCATGAAAAACTGTCAAAATTTGATCATTAAGGAATCAAATTCTGATCTGGAACTTTAAATATATTTTTACTCATTATTAAAAAGAAAGAGAAAGAGAAACAATTTTATAATACTCAAACTTTTTAAAAATTTTAAAATAAAAAGCTCCAAATTTTATTTTATATTTTTTTCTATATAAATTTTTTTTGATAAATTTTAATACTTATTCTTCTTTATTAATTTCAGAAATTTCAATTAAAAATTGATATTTTGTTATATTTTTAAAATTTTCTTTTAAAATTTTTTCTGATTAAAACTTTTTTAAACCAAAATTTCTATATTTCTATAGTTTAATATTCATTTTTATATTTTTAAATAAAAACATATTAAAATTTTACAGTTTTTATAAGGATAAAATAATTTTAATAGAAATTAACTTTTATATTTAAAAAAAATAGTGAAAAATAGTATTAAATATATGTAAAAAATATTTTGAAGTGAAAGTTACATAATGCAAAAGGAAGGTGCTAGAAAAAGATTTAGCTTTTTCTACCTTACAAATTCTATATATAGGCTTTTTCTAATGAGAATAAACCATCAATCACATTTCTCATTTTCAGCATTCACAGCTGATCATGGCAAGCTCTAAGGTCTTAGGGATTGCTCTCTTTGCTTTGTTCATTCTCGACCTTGCATTTGCTGCCAGGGTCCCAGAAAGGGCTCCTGCCGGAGGAGGTGGGGGTGGCGGAGGAGGGGGTGGCGGCGAAAAGGGTGGCTCTGGGTTCGGGTCTGGCTCCGGTGGTGGCGGTAGTAATGGTGGAGGAGGTGGTGGAGGTGGAGGAGGTGGTGGAGGTGGAGGTTCCGGTGGTTTTGGATGGGGTTCCGGTGGAGGAGGTGGAAGTGGAGGAAAAGGTGGAGGTGGTGGTGGTGGTGGTGGAGGTGGCGGAGGAGGTGGTAATGGAACTTCTGGGTCTGGAAGTGGATCAGGTTGGGGTTGGGGTGGTGGAGGACATAAAAAGTCCCCTTCACCTAAGTGATGATTTTTCTTTACATGTGATTTCCAGAAATAAATTGCAGTCACTTTCGTGTGCTTCGTGCATGCATGGTATTATTATATAAAATATAATTTACTGTGTATTAGTGAATATTATCTTATAAAAATCTCGAGTTTATTAAGTGCCTTTCCCTTTTATATATATTCCTGTTATTCATTTTCTTATTAATACTATGGGAAAAAAATGTAATAATATTAATGGGTGAAAACCAGTGGAAGGATTTCTCATCAACTAAGCTTTTTCTGAAACTTGATCTATTACTGGATTTTATTTCACTTATTTGTGTTTATTTGAGGACTGAATTTGCGATATAAGATGAATTTGTTAAGGGTGAGAAGATTTTAGGAGAAATATATGAATTTTATTGAAATGTCTATCGTTATTTTTAATTTGACTATGTTTATGAGAAGTGGTGATGTGAGAATCGATTTTGAGATTCCAAACCAATTACGTGAGAACGCTATTAAATTTAGTTTATACGTACATGGTTTTAAGTTTTAATAATGATAATCATAATGATAATGATAATAATAATAATAATATTAATGATGATATTAATGATATTAATAATAATAATAATGATATTTATAATAATACCAACGTTAATAATAATAATAATGATAAAGATAATAATAATAATAAGAGTAAAATGGTAATATTTTATTTTTATTCATTAAATATTTTTTAATTTAATCAACCTATCATATCACTTAACTTTAGGTTCTATCTGTATAGTTTTAGGTTTTAATAATAATAATATTATTATTATTAATGGTAATGATAATAATATTAATACTATGGAAATTATGCATAATGAAAATTTATGATAATTAATTAGTTACATTTTTAACTTTTTTTATTGAACATGACAGTTCTCCTTTTGCATATGTTTTATTCTATTCTGATGAGAAAAATAAAGGTAAGATATTAAAATATTAGTTTCGTATTTTTTTTTTGGTCTTGAGTCATTTTGTATTTTTTTGTATTGTTTTTTTTTAAAGAAAAAGTTAACTATTACGTTTTTTTCCATACTCTGATTTTAATTGTTGCTTATTAATTTTTCTTTTTAATAATTATGTCTCTTAATATTTAATTAGATTTTGATAGTTTGTTTTCTAGTTTTGATTTCTTTTTTAAATAGATATAATTACAAAGANATATGCAAGTTTTTGTAGAAATTGAATATGAAGATGTTTTGAATGGTGTAATGACTGAGGGACACAGAAGGCAACAAAGGCAAAGTTTTGACAAGAAAGACATATCAGTACAACAAAAATTACTTATTTCACCATTTTGCTTCTATAGTGTATTTTTCTTTATTTTTATTGTGCATGGTAGTGTGGTCCCGTGATGGGTAGAATTAATTATATTTTATTTTAAATTATTTTTATAATAAAAAATAAATAATAATCATATAATTTTATCCATTAAAATTTTTCTTTCTTTAATTTATCAAACTCAACCGTTATAACTTTCATTTCAATTTTTTTTTTCTCATCGTCTTTTTTTCAATCCAAACAATTTCAATTTTTTTTTTCTTTTTTCCTTTTAAATTCATTCTCTAAATTCCTTTTAAAAAACAAACACATCCTAGCATCATTAATATGCACGAGAATAATGTAGGTTAAGAAGACGCGTATTCACTTAATTATTAAATATGGTTTTACAGAATAATGGAGGTTAAGTAAACGCGTATTCACTTATAATATTTAATACAAATTCTACGAAAATATCAGCACAAACTCTAAATTAACCATTGTTAAATTAAATTAACACTTCTCTATACACGAATCAACTCAAACTGTTTATAATAAAGTGCATACCACTTCTACAAAAATATATATATATATATATATGTATGTATGTTAATAATAAATCTATAATATACGAAATATAAAAAAAGTTAAACATTTTCCTACAGAATAAAAAGTTAATTCATATATAATTTTATTTTGCCAACCTCATTTGAAAAAAAAAGATAATTGGAATTTTATATCATGAATAAAAGAAGTCATTGAAAATTATTCAATGAAAGATACTTCAAAAATATTATTGAATGAAATAAAAGTAGTTAGGTTTATCTATATTTAAGTTTTGTTAAAGGATTTCCATTTATCTTAATATTGTTTTTGTAATCTTTAAATTAAAAAAAAAAAAGTATAGCCCAATAATTTATGGAACACCACTCCACATCTTAAACCAGCAAAGTTAAGTCAAAGGTGAAACCAAATTAGATCAGTGCATATGTCAATCTCAATATATTTACTTATCTTTCTTTTTTTATTTTTTCATTAATTAATTTCTGTAATGTATATTAGGAAATGGAATGCACCATTTAGGGAAAGAAGATAAAAGTCAGTTAATTAGATGAATGCAACTATAAATGCTAATGAAATAAATAGTAAATTAGGTAGAATTTTTGGAATTTTTTTTTTCAAAATAGACTCTTTCACATCTTATTACTATCATTAGACTCACATGCATTTTATTTCTTTAACTATACCCTTTTATTATAGATGTAGTATAATTAATTTTTTTTTTTGAAAAATATAAATTTCTATTTTAAAAAATTATTTAAATTTATAGAAATATTTTTTTAAAGAATTATTTAGAGGAGAAATATAAAAGTAGAATAAAAATATAAAAAAATATCAAATGTTTTAATTGAAATTTATAAATTTTTTAAAATAGAAAAGGTGTTAAAATTTATTAAACATTTATAAAAAAATATAAAAATATAGAATTTTCAATTGAAATTCATAAAAAAAAAATAGAAAAGGTATAAAAATTTATTTATTTTAGAATAAATTTAAAAACATAGTCGTTTAAGATATTTAAGATAAATTATGTTATTTTTATTGTATTTAAATATGTAAATGTAAAGAAATACGTTTAAGGATTTAGTGTTTTTTTATTTAATTATTTAAACGTGAATCTCTTTTTCTACAGTTTTTTTAATTTTCTCTTCTAAAATAGCACATTATACATGGTATTTACAAGAATAACATGACTTTGGTTTTATGTCAGAACTTGATTTTTCGGAAACCACCAAATTATTACCTACAATGTAATGTAATGTAATGATTATGCATGAAAAACTGTCAAAATTTGATCATTAAGGAATCAAATTCTGATCTGGAACTTTAAATATATTTTTACTCATTATTAAAAAGAAAGAGAAAGAGAAACAATTTTATAATACTCAAACTTTTTAAAAATTTTAAAATAAAAAGCTCCAAATTTTATTTTATATTTTTTTCTATATAAATTTTTTTTGATAAATTTTAATACTTATTCTTCTTTATTAATTTCAGAAATTTCAATTAAAAATTGATATTTTGTTATATTTTTAAAATTTTCTTTTAAAATTTTTTCTGATTAAAACTTTTTTAAACCAAAATTTCTATATTTCTATAGTTTAATATTCATTTTTATATTTTTAAATAAAAACATATTAAAATTTTACAGTTTTTATAAGGATAAAATAATTTTAATAGAAATTAACTTTTATATTTAAAAAAAATAGTGAAAAATAGTATTAAATATATGTAAAAAATATTTTGAAGTGAAAGTTACATAATGCAAAAGGAAGGTGCTAGAAAAAGATTTAGCTTTTTCTACCTTACAAATTCTATATATAGGCTTTTTCTAATGAGAATAAACCATCAATCACATTTCTCATTTTCAGCATTCACAGCTGATCATGGCAAGCTCTAAGGTCTTAGGGATTGCTCTCTTTGCTTTGTTCATTCTCGACCTTGCATTTGCTGCCAGGGTCCCAGAAAGGGCTCCTGCCGGAGGAGGTGGGGGTGGCGGAGGAGGGGGTGGCGGCGAAAAGGGTGGCTCTGGGTTCGGGTCTGGCTCCGGTGGTGGCGGTAGTAATGGTGGAGGAGGTGGTGGAGGTGGAGGAGGTGGTGGAGGTGGAGGTTCCGGTGGTTTTGGATGGGGTTCCGGTGGAGGAGGTGGAAGTGGAGGAAAAGGTGGAGGTGGTGGTGGTGGTGGTGGAGGTGGCGGAGGAGGTGGTAATGGAACTTCTGGGTCTGGAAGTGGATCAGGTTGGGGTTGGGGTGGTGGAGGACATAAAAAGTCCCCTTCACCTAAGTGATGATTTTTCTTTACATGTGATTTCCAGAAATAAATTGCAGTCACTTTCGTGTGCTTCGTGCATGCATGGTATTATTATATAAAATATAATTTACTGTGTATTAGTGAATATTATCTTATAAAAATCTCGAGTTTATTAAGTGCCTTTCCCTTTTATATATATTCCTGTTATTCATTTTCTTATTAATACTATGGGAAAAAAATGTAATAATATTAATGGGTGAAAACCAGTGGAAGGATTTCTCATCAACTAAGCTTTTTCTGAAACTTGATCTATTACTGGATTTTATTTCACTTATTTGTGTTTATTTGAGGACTGAATTTGCGATATAAGATGAATTTGTTAAGGGTGAGAAGATTTTAGGAGAAATATATGAATTTTATTGAAATGTCTATCGTTATTTTTAATTTGACTATGTTTATGAGAAGTGGTGATGTGAGAATCGATTTTGAGATTCCAAACCAATTACGTGAGAACGCTATTAAATTTAGTTTATACGTACATGGTTTTAAGTTTTAATAATGATAATCATAATGATAATGATAATAATAATAATAATATTAATGATGATATTAATGATATTAATAATAATAATAATGATATTTATAATAATACCAACGTTAATAATAATAATAATGATAAAGATAATAATAATAATAAGAGTAAAATGGTAATATTTTATTTTTATTCATTAAATATTTTTTAATTTAATCAACCTATCATATCACTTAACTTTAGGTTCTATCTGTATAGTTTTAGGTTTTAATAATAATAATAATATTATTATTAATGGTAATGATAATAATATTAATACTATGGAAATTATGCATAATGAAAATTTATGATAATTAATTAGTTACATTTTTAACTTTTTTTTATTGAACATGACAGTTGTCCTTTTGCATGTTTTATTCTATTCTGATGAGAAAAATAAAGGTAAGATATTAAAATATTAGTTTCGTATTTTTTTTGGTCTTGAGTCATTTTGTATTTTTTTGTATTGTTTTTTTTAAGAAAAAGTTAACTATTACGTTTTTTTTCATACTCTGATTTTAATTGGTGCTTATTAATTTTTCTTTTTAATAATTATGTCTCTTAATATTTAATTAGATTTTGATAGTTTGTTTTCTAGTTTTGATTTCTTTTTTAAATAGATATAATTACAAAGAGTAAATGAATAAATTCATTTTTTAAATGTGATAAAAAAATGAAATTACATGTAAAAATTGAAAATACAAATTCGATTTTTTCACTTATTCTACACTAATAATTCAATTATTTATTTTTGTTTTATTAGTAACAATAATTAAAAATATATATTTTGAACATACACTCCTCTAAAATTATTATATCAATATCTCTTATTACTTCTAATAAACGGCATGTCAACGTTTCACATAAAATGTTGGAAAGGATATTTAACTTAACTTTTGTAGACTTCAAATAAAATGCTAATAAAAACACATCAAGTGAAAACTTATAATTTATTAAATTGAAAACAAAAATTATATTTAATTGAACGCTAAATATAATAATTTTATTAAAACTTAAACATTAATTAAATTTATTATAAAACTAAATATTTTTTACCACACTCAAATATTTGGAAATATCCAAATTAAAATAACATTTAGTTTACCTTTTATGGTAAAATAATTAAAAAATTTTAAAATATGTCATTTTGTATCCCAATTAATCTAGATTTGGATATTGGTTAAATCTCTCGGGTATGCACAAAGGATGCTGCTAACTATTGCCACACTCGTTAAGAATGATTAATAAATATTAAATTTAACAAAAAATCATAATTAATAGTGACATTAAATGAATTTTAATATCAACAATTATTAATATAAAAAAAGTATTATCCTATTTATTATTTACGCATATTCAAAACAATGAAAAATAATTTGAAGGAGTCACAAAATGCAATATAAAGAAAGGAAAAAAATTTCCATAAAAAAGTATAATCTTTCGTTACAACAAAATTTGAAAAAACCTACAAATTTCTGATATTTTTTTTTTCAAAAATTAAAGGAGAGTTGCTGTCTCCACCACCCCAACTTCTCTTACACCTCCCCATAATTTTTTTTAATTATAAAACTATCCTTTTTACTTTAATTTTTTTTGTTTACATTTTTATCAAAATCCCGAATCCCTCATTTTTCACTCACAATCGTGCAGTTCCCCCTCCCTCCACCACTCTCACTTTCAAACTTTTCTCCTCCAGATCCGTTTCTTCCCAACACATTTTCTCTATAGCTGTTTATTCGTTCTTTGTTCTCCGTTTCTTCCCAACTCATTTTCTCCGTTTCCACTTCACCCATTATCTGATCATTGGCCACGTTTTAGGTGCGGATGATGATGGTTTCCCTCCATTATTCTTTCTTTCCTTTCTTTTTTTCTTCATTTGTTTCTTTCAGGAAGCCTGCACCATTATGAATCCACTGTAGAGTCCCTAATTTAAGAATGCATGCACAACATTGACAAAAAAGATGTGGCAAGGGGTCACGCAGGTGCTCGCGCCGGTGGCGTCGGTGAGGCAGACGGCGTCATAGGGTTCGCTGGTGATGATTTTGCGGTGGCGATGATGGGTGCGGTGGAGCTTCCGCTTTCCATTGATGGAGGCACTGCAAGTGTTGAGGGCAGAGAAGAACCTCCTTTTCCCGGTGCACTCATCTTGGTCGAAGAGAGCAACATCGAGGAGGTGCAGCTCGATGACGTGGTCACGCTAGCGTTCAGGTTCGTAACTAAAAGTTGCATCATTCCTTCTGCGTTGCTGCTTTGTTTGATTGTGTTCATAACCAAGCAACATGGCGAACGTGTTGCTGTACCGATTGGAGCGCATGGTGGATGAGCTTGACGACCTCGACAACACCATTGTGGGATAACCACAACCACCAAGCGCGCAACTTTGATGTCCCGGAACTGTGGTGAGTGTACCTATGATAATGGTGCAGGTCAAGCGACGGTGGTGGTGGGAAGAAACAAACGAAGGAAAAAGAAAGGAAAGGAAGAAGAAGGGAGATGGAATATACTATGTCCTTTGATTTTATTATCAATATATAAGATAATATAATTATTATTTTGCTTATTTTTTTCAACTTATCAATCTTCTTTCTTCAATAAACTAGTTGAGTTGTCAGATTGAAAGTGCTTGAAGATAAAATAAACAAGTTTATCAGTAAATCAGATATAAAAAAAATAAAAAAAAACAATAACATTAATTTTCACAACAAAAATCAAATAACAAAAGATTTAAATAAAAATCAAATATTTTAAATATTGAATAAAATAAAATAAAATAATAGAAAATAAATTAAAAAAATTTTAAATTGATATGTTAATGAAAATTTAATTAAACCTAAAATAATATAAATATTATCTACATGTTAAACATAGTCTTTTATTATAAGCTCCATTTATTTTGTAAATTCCATGAACTAACAATAATTTTATTAAATAATTATATATAAAAAATAAAAACAAAATGATGTTTTTGGACTAAACTAATCTTGATGAGAATAATACAATTGACAAAAATTTACAAGTGAAAGCCATTTAGATGAAAATGTAAGATATATGTGAGTTTTTTTGTAGAAATTTCGATATCTAGGTAGATGAATTCAATGGCAATGCAAAATAAAAGATGTTTTGAAAGGTGTAATGATTGAGGGCAGAGTGCGATACAGAAGGCAATGAAAGGTATAATGTACAGTGCCTTTCTAAGTCTAAAAGGTTGGTTTCATTAAAGTACACAAACCCACCCAAAGATTCACTAGTGTAGGATGATTGAAAGACTGAATAAAATCCTATCCATAATTATTTACATTCAAAATTAAACTTAGTATATTAATCATTTATGAACTTAACTCGTTAGTTTTATTTAAGTTTAAATACTAACTTGATCATGTTTTTTTTTCTATCAAGTCTTATTTTTTATTAATTTTGTTTAATTTAGTTATTTATTAATATTAATTAAAATAGTTAATTGTGTATGAACAAGATATCTCACATTTTAATTCTTGATATTTTGTTTTGTTTTTTAATTTTTATATTTTTTAGTTTTAAAAAAATATTTACATGTCAAGTCATTATTACACAATAGTGTCTTATATTTATATCAGTCCCAATTTTAATTAATTTTGTTCAATTCAATCTTAACTTTTTTATAAATAAAACAATTTTTTTCTCTTTCATATTAAATCTAAATTTAGTTTTTAAATAAATATTATATATGAAATTTTATTAAAATTTATATTTTTATTAAATATTTCTAGATTTATTTTTAAGTCAATTTTAACTATATCATTAAAATATAATGATTAGATTTTTGTTACTTTTAAAAAGAAGTTAGAGCTAGCTTATGTTAGACTACATTCAATATATAAGGTTAATTTTTCATTAACTATAACCCTATTTTTTACATGTAGCAAAAATAAAACATAAATCTAATAATTATATTTTTTCTATTTACTTTAATTAATTTTTCATAAATATATAGATATTATATGATTTCAATAATATTCAACATAAACATTTTCTTATCAAATAAAAAGGTTAATTCATATAATTTTATTTTGCCAATCTCATTTAAAAAATAGTTTTTGTTTTGGAATTTTATATCACGAATAAAAGAAGTATCGAAAATTATTCAATAAAGATACTTCAAAAAATATTATTCAATGAAATAAAAGGTTTATCTGTATTTAAGTTTTGTTAAAGAATTTCCTGTAATTTATGGATTTTATGTGGGTTTTGATGTGTGAACATGTTGACGAAAAGGGACGCGGCTTGTTGACTTCATCAACTCCACTCCCACAACTTAAAACCACCAAAGTTAAGTCAAAAGTGGAACTAAATTAGTAATGAGTTCATATGTTTCTTCTTTTATTGTATTAATTAATTTCTGTGATGGATATTATAAGGAGTAAATTATGTTGAATTTTATGAAAGAAGGAATTTCATGGTGTGTTTTTAAAGTATTTGACTGAAAAATTAGAATATATATGACAGAGATGGCAGAGAGATTCCAGTGGTGTAAGTGGGAGTGGAAGTGCAATGGCGGCAGCACTATAAGGAATCCTCTGCAACACGTTACTTAAAAATAATGATGAGATACATGTAATGCAATAGTAACTGGTTAGGTGTTAAGCAAAGGAAGCTGCTAGAAAAAGATATACCTTTTTTTCTACTTTGCAAACTCTATATATACCCTTTTCTTGCCTCAAACTCCTCACGTTTCAATCAGAATAAACCATCACATTTCTCATTTTCACCGTTCACAAAAGTTGATAAGCTGATCATGGCAAGCTCCAAGGTCTTGGGGGTTGCTTTCATTGCTTTGTTCATTCTCGACCTTGCATTTGCTGCCAGAGTCCCAGAGGGGTTTTTTGCCGGAAGGGGTGGTGGTGGAGGTGGTGGTGGCGGAGGTGGGGGTGGCGGCGGTGGTATTGGACGTGGTTCTGGGTATGGATCAGGGTATGGCTCGGGTGGGGGTGAAGGGTTTGGCGGAGGAATAGGAGGAAGTGGTGGCGGCGGTGGAAGAGGAGGAGGTGGTGGTGGCGGGGGAGGAACGGGTGGTTCTGGGTACGGGTCCGGATCAGGGTATGGATACGGGTCCGGGTCAGGGTCTGGCTCCGGGATTGGTGGAGGAGGAGGTGGTGGAGGTGGTGGTGGAGGTGGCGGAGGAGGTAGTAATGGAGGTTCTGGGTATGGAAGTGGATCGGGGTATGGTTATGGATCGGGTTGGGGTGGAGGAGGAAATAATGAGCTCCCTTAAACTAAAATGATTTTGCTTTATATGATATAATATAATAGTTATTGACATGTTTCATGTGATTTCCAGAAATAAATTGCAGTTTGATCACTTTGGTGATGGATGCTGCTTCTTGCTTGTCTGGTAGATGATATAGACAGATTTCATAATTAGTTGGGTCTCACTATTATGTAACATTTTATAACTCTAGGTCCAATTACAAATAATTTAAAATTTTGTAATTATAATTCTGATGCTTTATGTGGTTATGCCAAACGTGGAAAGTACGTTTATATAGACAAACTATATAATTGCGTACAGCAGTATGGTTGCATTGGCATGGATAATGTAATATATTTTCGTAATGAAAATAAATCATGTTTATCTTCTTCAAACAATATTCCTCAATCAAGCTTCATGAATTATTATCTACTTAGTTAATTATAATCTTAACAAAACTTCTTATGCAACTAGATTCGACTATCAAAGCTATCATTTAAAGTTAATAACCTAATTATTACAACTTCTAATATTTAATAAGATTTGTTAATTCTCGATACTGTTATAGCTTCAAATACTGTCAAATTATTCTTCATCAAACCGAAAATTTATTTTTACTTTGTATGAGGCAATATTCCTTCCTTAGTTTACTATAAACTAAAATACTCGCACTGATCATTTTATCTTAAGCACAAGACTTTCTTTTTTGCATTTACAAACTAATCTTTTACTTCACTAGGATCATAAGCATATATCATATTCCATCTGAGAAGCAGAAGTGAAAGTAATGCATGACTGTTCTGTCTCTGTATGATTGTATTATATAGTAGAAAAACAAATGGTCTAGACTTAACAAGTAGAGACTTAAATATATAATGTTCTGTTATCACTATTTTCTTTCCACAACTAATAGAGTAACGTTTACCTTTAATATTTTGAAGACCAAAGAAAGATCCGGGATGATGATTAACTTTTTCAAAAGAATAAACATGGATAATCAATGCATAAAAAATAAGATAATGAATAATAGCTTATGCAGAAAATCTTAGTTGCATAACAACAAACCTTTAAAAATATTTGACGGGTTAGTTTTATTTTAAGAAAAGAACATAATGCTTTTGTCGGTGCACTTTCGAAGAAAACTGTACAAATGCAAACATGCAATTAAAAAAGAATCAGCATAACCTGTTGCAAATGCATCAACACTGATGCACAGTTTAAGAAAGAAACGACTTTATTTAGCTAAAGAGAGCATCTGAAGTCGAAAAACTGCTATTGAAATATTCTAATACATAGCGTCTAGTAAATCGTCAACTTTAGAAACACAATTCGGGCTTGGGGTTCTAACAACTCACAAGTGAATTCTTGATTCTCAAATGCTATCACAAAATAATTTTCAAATCCTATCTCAGGCTAGTGATTGAGGATACAGATCATATAAGACATTAGCACCTGTTGACTTACAAAAAAAAAGAATTTAGTTCTAAATACTACAATTTGGAAATGAGCGTGAACTTTCCAATCGAACTTGTCTGTTGATGGGGTTTGAGAAGAAATTCTATAAGACCGCTCTCAATTCAAGAAAAAAAATTCCTGCCCTCTCCCGCTACAATAAAGACCTCCAAAGGTATATCATGTGATGATAATTTATGTAAACAAATCCCAAAATTCAGCAAATGTATAAGCAATTAGCAAGCAGATTCACTAAGCATCTAATAGCAGACAAGTGCACTTGCAAACTACTCAATCACCCTCTCACTAGCATAAGCAACCTTCTGCAATATCATAGTTTCAGCTGTACGAATAGCTCTCTGGGCTCCTGTTATGGTAACCTTCCTGTAATAAAAAAGCACACACGTATAAAATATTTACGGTTAAAGGTATTCTGTCAGGCATTTGCTTAATAATTTTTGTTATACTAGGATATGAAGCAAAGAAAAATCTTGCGTGAACAAATTCCCACCTATCAGTTGTTCCAGAAATGTAATCACCTCTATCTGATATCTTTATCCTCGCCCCACTAACCTGAAAAAGAGCAGACGTTACCCAAGTTAATATATTTTATTAGTAATCACAATAAATACATAGGAATGCTGTTAGGCGTAACAAACCTGACTAATTTCCATAATATTCCTTCCACCACGACCAACAACCAATCCTATATGCTCATCTGCAACACCCATGGTCACCGAGTTACTCCGCTCCTCCTGGAATAGAAGAAAATGTAAGTCAAACTGACAAAGCAAATCACTGCATGAGGATGCGAGGATTTAAAGTTAATCTCATTCACCACTGATTATATATAAAATCTCACGATTGCATGTTGATTAAGGAAAAAATAATATAGATATTGTAAGAAAAGTGAGCCAAATATGGTAACAGATCTCTCAAGCTTGAGATTCAATAATTTTTTCTATTTGACAAACTATTTTATGTTTACGATTTTAATATTGTTATTATGTTTATTTTCAAGTCTCATAAAGTAGTATTTGCATATATTTGTAAGATTTTACACACACCGATAGAAACTGGTGTCTGAACTAAAGACAGAATAGGGACGAAAAATCTACAGGAAAGAGCACACACTGCACAACAATTTAAAGTCTGCAGTTCCTAATGCCCAAAGGACTTTATGCTCTCAATTGACAGCATAAAATCCCTCAAACCTCTTCCTATTTATATACAGCTACCGGTCTGCTAACATAAAATCACTCTTAAAGGGACTAATCAATTACAGGGCCACTCCCATTCTTTCTAACATAACCCCTGGTATTTTTTTACCAACTAACCTAACTAACTGCACACATACCTGCATACTCATGCAAACCAAACAGGTCCAATATCGCCTGAAATGTTGGACTGATAGGTTCAACTAATTGAACTGTCAAAGCATCCTAACTTCGAACAAGGTTAGCCTTTTAACTAATGTTGATCAAAAACCATATATAGCTAGATTAAAATCACAATTTCTAGCATAGTGAAATAAATTTTGACTTGATTCTTGGCTTTTGTTTTAGCATATAGTCAACTCTGGAGTCCTACTGCAAAGGCTTAATTAAATACGCTATAATCCTTGCACACATACTATTTTTGTTTTTTGTCCATACAAACTTTTGGTCCATCATGTTAGTATCTGTGGAGAAAACCTGTTGTTTTGGAGAAAACCTGTTGTAGCAGACAGAGTTCCATCGTTAATGGCAGCAAGTGCCACATCACAAAAATGGCATGTCATTAAAAATGTTACGTGAATATCACGTTTTTTAAAGTGTCATGTCATCATGGAATTTAAAAAGAAAAAATTGACATATTCACAAGGATTACAAACAAATCAATATAATTTAAAATCTTCAAATGTTCTTTGTGTGTGTGTGTGTCTGAAAACTTGGCAACTTTAAACATGAAAAACTTCAAACAAGATTAAATCAATGGTAAGTGAAGAACCTTGCTATTCTGGAACTTAGCTCCGGCACCATTTGGTCTGTAATTCACTGCATTGTATGCAGGTGGTGCAACAGATGGAAGCACATATGTGTATGGAACACCCTGATAACCCGAGAAGTATACACCTGATGTTTAAGTTAAATAAATTTTAATTAGGATCAAACTCATCAATTATGATTCCTTACAAAACACAACTACTTATACAAAGCACGGCATTTTAAATCTTAATTTAACTGTCATAAAATAGAGAACCTGGCTTTAAAATAAAAATTACCAAAAAAAAAATAAAAATGAGCATATTTGAAGTATACTTTCTACTCTACTGTAGCTTTGTTAGAGATATCCATGATTGCATATTGCTGCTTTGTTTCAATAAATACCATTGTTAGATATATAATCCAGAATTGAGCGTCAACCTAACAGGGTTAAGCACTTGGTTGAATTGGACAGTTGATTCTTACATGATATCAAAGAATCTGACTAGGATGAAGTGACCAATATATCCTTGCCAATCTCAGTATGTATAATTAAACTAATTTTTAGAACTAAGTGGAATTTACATTGACCACAATTCAGGCCAAGAGGCAATATATGAAGATTAATAATTTAATGTGAACAATGCATGACTCACCTTATCAAAGTTACAGATTATCTAATTTACAAGACCAATTCACTAGAACGAGGTTCAGCAAAACAACAAACGGGAAGAACTTGCCTCATTAGAGAAAAAAAAAAACTATTTCTTTTCATACGGTTCCTTAGAGAGAAAATCAATTAGGAAACCAACTCGCATATCAGGAAAGAGCATCGTGTTAAAAATTGCAATAAGAAACAAAAAAATTGTTTTTCCTGCAAAACATTTATGCAAATGAGTTCGATAATCAGTACTGCAATAAATATAAATAATAATGCTACCAAGAAAATCTATGACTTAAATATGGAAATGATGACTTCCAAATCATGGTTGTTCGGATCCAAGCCACACAGAGCATAGTTAGTATGTGCACTAAGTGAAGCAAGATACATATTTAAAGGAGCATACAATTCAAGCAAATTAGGCAGTACTCTTCTAGCTAAATACAAGATTAAAGCCGAATTCACAATCATTCAAAATTAAAACATGCATCTGATCTCAAACAGATACCAACAACAATGATACAACTCCAGTACACAAAAAAAAGGATAGAAATTAAAACACATAATTTCGAACCATGCAGTATAACCTTAACATTGTCACACAAAGGCAGATCAAGTTTTGAGAGCATTAAGTTAACCAAGGAATACGCATCACAGTCAATTGCATACTATCCTCACAGTGTCTCAGATTTAAGCCTAACTAACTAAGCTCGGTTTCTCGATAATATTTATTATTATCCCATATTAACACTACTAACTCAGAATCAATCGAACCAGCAGCTCCTTCCTGGATAAAACAGAGACAGTGTTNGGAAGAGGAGGAGGTGGTGGTGGCGGGGGAGGAACGGGTGGTTCTGGGTACGGGTCCGGATCAGGGTATGGATACGGGTCCGGGTCAGGGTCTGGCTCCGGGATTGGTGGAGGAGGAGGTGGTGGAGGTGGTGGTGGAGGTGGCGGAGGAGGTAGTAATGGAGGTTCTGGGTATGGAAGTGGATCGGGGTATGGTTATGGATCGGGTTGGGGTGGAGGAGGAAATAATGAGCTCCCTTAAACTAAAATGATTTTGCTTTATATGATATAATATAATAGTTATTGACATGTTTCATGTGATTTCCAGAAATAAATTGCAGTTTGATCACTTTGGTGATGGATGCTGCTTCTTGCTTGTCTGGTAGATGATATAGACAGATTTCATAATTAGTTGGGTCTCACTATTATGTAACATTTTATAACTCTAGGTCCAATTACAAATAATTTAAAATTTTGTAATTATAATTCTGATGCTTTATGTGGTTATGCCAAACGTGGAAAGTACGTTTATATAGACAAACTATATAATTGCGTACAGCAGTATGGTTGCATTGGCATGGATAATGTAATATATTTTCGTAATGAAAATAAATCATGTTTATCTTCTTCAAACAATATTCCTCAATCAAGCTTCATGAATTATTATCTACTTAGTTAATTATAATCTTAACAAAACTTCTTATGCAACTAGATTCGACTATCAAAGCTATCATTTAAAGTTAATAACCTAATTATTACAACTTCTAATATTTAATAAGATTTGTTAATTCTCGATACTGTTATAGCTTCAAATACTGTCAAATTATTCTTCATCAAACCGAAAATTTATTTTTACTTTGTATGAGGCAATATTCCTTCCTTAGTTTACTATAAACTAAAATACTCGCACTGATCATTTTATCTTAAGCACAAGACTTTCTTTTTTGCATTTACAAACCAATCTTTTACTTCACTAGGATCATAAGCATATATCATATTCCATCTGAGAAGCAGAAGTGAAAGTAATGCATGACTGTTCTGTCTCTGTATGATTGTATTATATAGTAGAAAAACAAATGGTCTAGACTTAACAAGTAGAGACTTAAATATATAATGTTCTGTTATCACTATTTTCTTTCCACAACTAATAGAGTAACGTTTACCCTTAATATTTTGAAGACCAAAGAAAGATCCGGGATGATGATTAACTTTTTCAAAAGAATAAACATGGATAATCAATGCATAAAAAATAAGATAATGAATAATAGCTTATGCAGAAAATCTTAGTTGCATAACAACAAACCTTTAAAAATATTTGACGGGTTAGTTTTATTTTAAGAAAAGAACATAATGCTTTTGTCGGTGCACTTTCGAAGAAAACTGTACAAATGCAAACATGCAATTAAAAAAGAATCAGCATAACCTGTTGCAAATGCATCAACACTGATGCACAGTTTAAGAAAGAAACGACTTTATTTAGCTAAAGAGAGCATCTGAAGTCGAAAAACTGCTATTGAAATATTCTAATACATAGCGTCTAGTAAATCGTCAACTTTAGAAACACAATTCGGGCTTGGGGTTCTAACAACTCACAAGTGAATTCTTGATTCTCAAATGCTATCACAAAATAATTTTCAAATCCTATCTCAGGCTAGTGATTGAGGATACAGATCATATAAGACATTAGCACCTGTTGACTTACAAAAAAAAAGAATTTAGTTCTAAATACTACAATTTGGAAATGAGCGTGAACTTTCCAATCGAACTTGTCTGTTGATGGGGTTTGAGAAGAAATTCTATAAGACCGCTCTCAATTCAAGAAAAAAAATTCCTGCCCTCTCCCGCTACAATAAAGACCTCCAAAGGTATATCATGTGATGATAATTTATGTAAACAAATCCCAAAATTCAGCAAATGTATAAGCAATTAGCAAGCAGATTCACTAAGCATCTAATAGCAGACAAGTGCACTTGCAAACTACTCAATCACCCTCTCACTAGCATAAGCAACCTTCTGCAATATCATAGTTTCAGCTGTACGAATAGCTCTCTGGGCTCCTGTTATGGTAACCTTCCTGTAATAAAAAAGCACACACGTATAAAATATTTACGGTTAAAGGTATTCTGTCAGGCATTTGCTTAATAATTTTTGTTATACTAGGATATGAAGCAAAGAAAAATCTTGCGTGAACAAATTCCCACCTATCAGTTGTTCCAGAAATGTAATCACCTCTATCTGATATCTTTATCCTCGCCCCACTAACCTGAAAAAGAGCAGACGTTACCCAAGTTAATATATTGTATTAGTAATCACAATAAATACATAGGAATGCTGTTAGGCGTAACAAACCTGACTAATTTCCATAATATTCCTTCCACCACGACCAACAACCAATCCTATATGCTCATCTGCAACACCCATGGTCACCGAGTTACTCCGCTCCTCCTGGAATAGAAGAAAATGTAAGTCAAACTGACAAAGCAAATCACTGCATGAGGATGCGAGGATTTAAAGTTAATCTCATTCACCACTGATTATATATAAAATCTCACGATTGCATGTTGATTAAGGAAAAAATAATATAGATATTGTAAGAAAAGTGAGCCAAATATGGTAACAGATCTCTCAAGCTTGAGATTCAATAATTTTTTCTATTTGACAAACTATTTTATGTTTACGATTTTAATATTGTTATTATGTTTATTTTCAAGTCTCATAAAGTAGTATTTGCATATATTTGTAAGATTTTACACACACCGATAGAAACTGGTGTCTGAACTAAAGACAGAATAGGGACGAAATCCCCAATCTACAGAAAAGAGCACACACTGCACAACAATTTAAAGTCTGCAGTTCCTAATGCCCAAAGGACTTTATGCTCTCAATTGACAGCATAAAATCCCTCAAACCTCTTCCTATTTATATACAGCTACCGGTCTGCTAACATAAAATCACTCTTAAAGGGACTAATCAATTACAGGGCCACTCCCATTCTTTCTAACATAACCCCTGGTATTTTTTTACCAACTAACCTAACTAACTGCACACATACCTGCATACTCATGCAAACCAAACAGGTCCAAGATCGCCTGAAATGTTGGACTGATAGGTTCAACTAATTGAACTGTCAAAGCATCCTAACTTCGAACAAGGTTAGCCTTTTAACTAATGTTGATCAAAAACCATATATAGCTAGATTAAAATCACAATTTCTAGCATAGTGAAATAAATTTTGACTTGATTCTTGGCTTTTGTTTTAGCATATAGTCAACTCTGGAGTCCTACTGCAAAGGCTTAATTAAATACGCTATAATCCTTGCACACATACTATTTTTGTTTTTTGTCCATACAAACTTTTGGTCCATCATGTTAGTATCTGTGGAGAAAACCTGTTGTTTTGGAGAAAACCTGTTGTAGCAGACAGAGTTCCATCGTTAATGGCAGCAAGTGCCACATCACAAAAATGGCATGTCATTAAAAATGTTACGTGAATATCACGTTTTTTAAAGTGTCATGTCATCATGGAATTTAAAAAGAAAAAATTGACATATTCACAAGGATTACAAACAAATCAATATAATTTAAAATCTTCAAATGTTCTTTGTGTGTGTGTGTGTCTGAAAACTTGGCAACTTTAAACATGAAAAACTTCAAACAAGATTAAATCAATGGTAAGTGAAGAACCTTGCTATTCTGGAACTTAGCTC